TCCAAGTCACTCTCTTCATGGGGGACCGTGGTGACTTGGATAGCTGCTGATGCAATAGTTGTTGCCACCTCCCCACATGAACAGGAGGTATATGCTGCTGCGGTGGCTGTTGCGGCTACTCTTGCTGCTGCTGCTGCTGCTCTTGAGGCTGCTGCGGGCCATGGGCTGGTTTGTTAGGGTCATAGGTGGAACCAGCAGTTGGGGAATCCTCATGGTGAGGTGCAGCTGCCTTGTGTTCCTCCTGCTGCTCCTCTACCTCCTCTCCAGGGTCCTCCCATGTCCCCTCAAAGATGGACGAGGTGTAGGGATCTTGGAGGGAGCTCCCAACTGTACTAGCACCATGCTCCTTCCACCCTTTGTAGCTCAGCCCCTCGTGAAAAACCACATCACGGCTTTCCACCACCCGCTGATCCACCACATTCCACAACATCCAAGCTTTGCTCCTCTCCGACACCCCAAGGAAAATGCCTCATTGTGCCTTAGGATCCAGCTTCCTCCGTTGCTGGTCGGGCACTTTGTACTGCGCCATGCACCCCCACACTCGTGCCATGGACACACTAGGCACCTTCCTGGTCCACATGAAGTATGGGCTCTTGCCCCCTAGCCCCTTGCTGCCCATCCGGCTCTTAACCCAGTTGGCATATTGCACTGCTGCCCCCCACCAAGTATGGTCCAGCTGCGCATGAGCAAGCATGGCTCGGGCAAGGTCAATGAGGGTCCGGTTTAGCCTCTCCGCTGCCCCATTTTGCTGCGGCGTGTAGGCAACTGAAAGCTAGTGGGTGATGCCCTTGTCTTCAAGGAAAGACTCCAGATCCTTCCCCATGTACTCTCCACCCCGATCAAGTATTTTCACCTTGGCCCCGGCTTCCCTCTCCGCATAGCGTATCCAACGCTTGAAGACCTTGGCCACCTCGTCCTTGGTTTTCACCAAGGTAACCCAACTTAGGCGGCTGAAGTCATCCAAGAAGGTGATGAAGTATTTGCTTCCCTTCTCCCTATCCGGTGTTTGCATGGGGCCACACACATCCGTGTGCACCAACTCAAGAGATGCAGAGGCTCTAGTGGTGGAGGTAGGAAAAGAGGTTATTGGCAGCTTCCCGGTCGTGCAATCAGGGCACTTGCTTGGCTGCCCACCACCCTCCTTGATCTCCACACCCTTCAGCTCCCCCTTTTTCACACACTCCATAAGCTGTTGCTTTCCCGCATGCCCCATGCGTAGGTGCAGCAAATCTGCCGTCACCTGCTCCACATCCTTCCAACGGGTGCTGCAAGCGGCATCCTCGGCTTCGACCTCATGTGCCTTCTCCACGTGAGGCACACACACTGGAACAAGGTATAAACCCTTCTCTAACTTGGCCTCCATCACCACAGCTCCAACCTTGCGAACCGTGCACCCTCCAATGGTGAAGGTGCATTTGTAGTCTTGCCTAGCGAGCTGAGAGCATGAGAGGAGGTTGGCTGCCAATCCAGGAACATGAAGCACACCCTTCACATGTAGCACCTCCCCCTCCTTGCCCTTGATGGTGATGGTGCCGATGGTGATGGTGCCGATGCCGATTGCTTGCAGCGTATCTCCACTCCCAACGATGACATTTCTTGAGTTAGGTGGGAGGGAGTGATAGGTGGTGAAGAGGTCACGCCGTGGTACCATTCCACAAGTGGCACCAGAGTATAGAACGAGGTAATCGGGGTCAACCAACACACGACCAGCAAGCGCCGTATCCTTCTCCAACGTAAGGAAGGAGAAACCGTCGTCCGACGACTCCTCCTTTCCCTTCCCACCATCATTCGACACTGCTGCCGCCGTTTCCTTTGCTGCCCTTCTTGTTCCAGGCTCCATTCCTCGTCCTCTTCTCCACCAACTCAAGCCTAGTGACAGGTGGAGCCTCTCCAGGGTAGCCTTGAGGCTTCCACCCATCTGGCCGGCTCCAACACTCCTTCCACGAGTGCTTCCAGTTGCATCCAGGGACGAGGCACTTGTCGAGCTCCTTCTTCTTCCCCCCACCTCCTTGCCACTGTTGGTACTTCTTGGAAGCAGCCCTATCATCTGCCCCCATCTCCCCTTCAACTCCTCTACCAGCATCACGCTTGCGAGCCTCATCAGAAACCAACACCTCCCAAATCCAGGCCCTGGTCCATTTCTACTGCTCAAGGTGAAGGTACTGCAGTAGGGCCTCGTTCGCGTCTTGGTCCAGCCCCTGGAGTGTGGTGTAGATGTTCTCCTTCTCATCTACTTTGTAGTTCAACTCCTCCAAGGCCCTCACATACTCATCCACCCTCTGGAGATACTGCACCATGGTCTCCCCATCTCCATAGTTGCATTCCATGGTGTAGTACCGTTTCCTCCAGGTGAGTATGCTTAGCAACCCCTTTTGCAAATGTCGATCTTGAACTCTCTTCCATGCTTGGGCAGCTGCTCCTTGCTTCCCCTTCAGGTCAATCAGCATCTTTAGGAGCTCTAGTTGGCCTTCCAAAGCCCAACACAGGTACTGGAACGCTTGCTTGTCCTTGCGGTCCCATGCTTCTTGTGCCTTAAGTAGCTCCTCCACACTAAGCCGTTGCCTTCCGGTTCGCGGTGCTGCTGATCCACCTGCACTTCCCCCACTTATAGATGAGCTAGAGGCTCCCCCAGCCCTTGCTCCCTCTTGGCTAGACACTCCAGTAGATGCCTCAGCTTCATCAGCTCCAGGTCTTCGCTCCGATCCCTCCAAAACGCTTTCTAGGTCTTTGATTCCTAGCCAAAGCGTAAACTGGAACCGCCATAGCGAAAAATCCGAGCCGGTGAACCTAGGAGGGCCATCTAACTTCTGGGCCATGACCACCCTAGATCTGGAGATTCTTAAGCCAATTCGAAATATGATAATAGAAGGGAACGTGGCTAGCCTAACCAGCTCTGATACCACTGATGGAAAGAGCGCGAAACTGGAGAGCGTAACAAGAGATTAAGTCCGCCGACTTCGGCGAACCATTGCGTGCAACTCACGTAATCTAAAAATATGTGAAGGTATGTGTTGGAACGGTCTTAATATCTACTTGCCAGAATGGTAAATCACGCCTTCAACCAAGATCTAGGCCGATCGCTATCGCGATTTAAGTGCGACGGAGTATCCTGGCGGAATTACTTGGCAGCCATGGACTAGATCTAGGAATGGCTTAAGCAAGAGTTCAGATCTGAAAAGTGACGAGTTGGTCAAACCCTACCAGCCCAACCCTCGCCCTACAACAATCCCCAAAAACCCAAAGTGCCAAACTAGCAACACCAAATGTGTTGTAGTGAATAGCAAAGGTTTTTTCGTGCTTGTTGGGTGCGAGATCAATTCCTGCCCACAATAAGTCTAGCAAATATATTTTGCCCAAACCCTTAGCCAACAACCAGCTACAGCAAAATACCACAACCACCTACATAATCAGCATTATTTACACCAAAGTGTTCATCTCGTCCTTGCGATTTGAATAAAATCGATATTATAGAGGGCAATGAATGTGAATTTCGCGTAAATTGGCAGTGGTTGAATCCCTGCCAACACACAGAGTCAGAATGAGTCAGATTGACCCCATGACAGCTCATTATGACTGGACGCGAATGCATCGAGTCGCGCAAGGGTGAAGGGATTCGGAATTCTGAATATGGGGATGCAAAATTGTGTTTCGTTACAGCGTTTCCAGTAAAAATAAAACAAATATTACAGAGGGTGGCGCTTATAATCCGTAAGCCGTTAGGGGTGGGCTTATATCGTATCGCCCCGGACATAAGCGCAGGCCTATTAAAAGCGCATGCGCTTATATCTGGAGCAATGCGCTTATGGCCGATCCTCAATTATAAGCGCACCCCTTGTAAAACCCTGTTTTATTATAAGCGCATCCAGAATTTTTTATTTAAAATCTGCTCAACACATTAACGAGTTTCAAAATTGAAGCGAGCATAATTTCTTCATCGCTTCGTTTGACTCGCGAAGACCTCAAAAGCTGCGCGTCAGGTCAAGATGTGCTGGCATAGGGGCAAACTAACGTGTCTTAGTCCCTGTGTGTTGGAAAAAAAATCGGTAGCGCGCGATTCTGATTCCTGGCGCTATAAAATTTCTCCTCGATTGGAATGGTACGACTGAGATGTACATTTTGATGCTATAAAAGTATATATCTGTATCTGTCATTATATAAGCGCATGCGCTTATAAAAATGACTCAATTAGAAGCGCACCCCCCTAAAAAACTCTGCTTTATTATAAGCGCAGGTGCGCCTCTATCCGGGGTAATACGGTAATCGAGGACCGGATATAAGCGCCATAAGCCTTTTATAAGCGCCGGCGCTTATCATAGGCCTGCGCTTCAATCCGGGGGCTTACGGTATTATGTGTACTTTGCCATTCTTTCCCGTGACTTCCGTAACGTATAATTCTACACAGCACACACCACCACACCCTTCTAAGGCCATGCCCATAATTAGGTTTCTACAGCCTCTGATATTTGGGTCTGAAGGCCATAAGTGCTTCCCTACCCACTTAAAGGTTACTGACAGCTTTAGTGGCTAACCCACCAATCATACTCCATCACAACTGTCCACTCTACACTCTAGATCCACAGCTAATCCAATGCAAGACTCCTCCTTATCTTGCTGCCTCCTTTCATTCATCTTGCTGCCTCCCTCCCTTGCCCGGCTTCCAACTCTCAATCGTCCATTGCACATCCCCTCGCTACCTTCTCACAGCCCCTCTCCTTGCAGCCCTTCACTTCAGCACCTCCCCTAGCACCCACTTGCCCCAGCAGACTCTGACGTGTCCTAGCAAACACTCTATAAGGCCAACCAGCCCAACCAGCCCAACTTGATCTATAAGGCTCAAGCCTTGACACTGAATCTTGATATGCCTCAAAACCCGGCTGCCCCTGCCCGGACCAGCCCAACCTGCTCTATCAAATGGCTGAGCCTCAGCAGGTGCAAGATCTCCTCCGTGGCACCATTGGCTAAAAAACACTCCAGAACGCTATGAGGTGCCTCACTACACCCTACCATTGCCCCCGAGGCCCTGACCCCTGCGCTGCCCGGACCAGCCCAACCTCGTCGATCAGATTGCCGAGTCCCAACGGGTGCAAGATCTCCTCCGTGGCACCATTGGCCTTCACCCCTGCATCATTCATTTCTTCCAGCACCCCCCGCACCTCACTCGCAAACTCCCCGCCTCCCACGTCCTCTCCTACTCCCCTCCTCCTCCAGTCATTCACGATAGCCGTGATAATCGAATTGAAGAGATTTGCATCGGTACGGTACATAGTCCGTGCAAGCCCCACCAGCTCTCGCACCTTCCCCACCTCCCCCGCCTCCACAAACCCTCCCAGCACCTCCGCGAACGCGTGAAACGGCAGCTTCATGCGGGCCCTGTGCGCGCCGGCTGCCACCGCGTCGTGTAACGTGGTAACCGCGTCGTCGATCTGGTTGGCGGAGAGGAAGCCGCGGAGGAGGTGCAGGAAGGTGATGCCGTCGGGGCGCATGCCGGCTGCGTCCATGTGGAGGATGGTCTCCTTGGCCTTGGGGAAGAGGTGGTTGTGTGCATAGGCGAATACGAGCGAGTTGAACGTCTCGGTCACTGGCGCCTGCTGCACCCTCAGCTCTTGAAACGCCTGCAGGGGGGGGCGGGGGAGGAGGCAAGTAGAGGGTGGGAATGGGGAATGGAGGGGAGATGGGAGTGTACTTGGGTTGGCTCAGAAGGCAAGGAAGATGGCCACGTGGAAGGTGATGCCGTCGGGGCGCATGCCGGCTGCGTCCATGTGGAGGATGGTCTCCTTGGCCTTGGGGAAGAGGTGGTTGTGTGCATAGGCGAATACGAGCGAGTTGAACGTCTCGGTCACTGGCGCCTGCTGCACCCTCAGCTCTTGAAACGCCTGCAGGGGGGGCGGGGGAGGAGGCAAGTAGAGGGTGGGAATGGGGAATGGAGGGGAGATGGGAGTGTACTTGGGTTGGCTCAGAAGGCAAGGAAGATGGCCACGTGGAAGGTGATGCCGTCGGGGCGCATGCCGGCTGCGTCCATCTGGAGGATGGTCTCCTTGGCCTTGGGGAAGAGGTGGTTGTGTGTATAGGCGAATACGAGCGAGTTGAACGTCTCAGTCACTGGCGCCTGTTGAACCTTCAGCTCTTGAAACGCCTGCAGGGGAGGGTGAGCTGTCAAAAGAGGACAGGTGGGCTGCGGAGGCCTTACTTCCATCAACTCGTGTTGTTTTAGGACAACGAAACAAACTCCATGAGGAATGGCGGAAGGAGCCTGGTGTGTGCTTAGCTTAGAACGTTGTTGAGAGAGCCAGTTTAAAACAATTGTTCACTAAAGGATCAGGGACATTGCAAACTAGTTTCGGCTTTTGCAAGCCTTCATCAGTACAAGCCTGAAAACGCCTGCAGGAGGGGGTGAGGGTGGGGAAGAGGCAAGGACAGGGTGTGGAGGAGGAAGGGAGATGCAACGGGAGTAACATTTAAGTTGGCTCAGGCGACAAGAAGGAAAAGGTGGTTGTGGGTGCGGGCAAAGACGAGGGAGTAGAAGGTCTCGGTTACTGGAGTTTGCTGTAGAGGCGATGGGATGGGGGAGCATAGGACCTTAGAAGGCAGGGAACATTGCATGTCTCGGTCACTGGGGCCTGCTGCACCCTCAGCTGCTACACCCTCAGCTGCTGCACCCTCAGCCCTGACTACATGAGCACACATTGCCTCTTCCTTCCTCACCCTCACCCTCGCCTGCACCCTTGATGATTACATGTGCGCACAGACCCTCAATAACTTTGCACAGAGATGCACGCGCACTGTCCCTCCCCCCCCTTCCTCCCTCCCCTTTTTCCCCCCTCTCCCTTCCCTCCCCTCACCTGCTCCGCCTTGCTCACATCACCCGCCAGCCCATAGCCCTCTATGCGCGCCTTGTGGAGCATCCTGCACGACACAAGGTGGGAGGAGTGGATGGGAAAGGAGAAAAGAGATGGCAAGGCAGCGGATGGGAAGGGAGAAAAGAGACGGGCCATGTGAATGGAGGAAAGAAACCCATAGCCCTCTCTACACACCTTGTGAAGCATTCTGCAATGCACCACGGGAGTGCGCAGCAGAAGGGAGAAGAGAGGGAGAAGGGAGGAAGAAGAAGGGAGGGGGGGGGAGGGAGAACTGATGGATGGAACCCACAGCCCTCATTGCGATTTTCAACCATGCTCCATAACTATCCCACCCGTACTGTGTTGTATCCCCGTACCGTGTTGTATCCCACCCGTACCGTGTTGTATCCCACCCGTACCGTGTTGTATCCCACCCGTACCGACCGTGTTGTATCCCACCCGTACCGTGTTGTATTCCACCCATCATAACTGATTATCTTCACATCCATACCTCTCAAACCCATACCTCGTGACAATCACACCCATACCTCGTCACTATTACACCCATACCTCGTTACAATCACACCCATACCGTGGTACTATCACACCCATACCTTATCACCATCGCACCCATACTCCATCACCATCACACCCATACCGCATACTCCATCACTATGACACCCATACCCCATACCCCATACCCCATACTCCATACCCCACCACACCCACTCGTACCCATACCACATCATGTCACACTCGTACCTCGTCATCGGCACGTTTGATGCAAGCAGCTCACTCCAAGTCGCCTCCAGCTTATCCACCTGCCGGCTCTGCCCATACGCCTTCAGCATGGCGGCATACGTGCCTCTATCTGGCCCCGCTCCTGACGTCTTTAAACTCCTCTCCCACTCCAGTGCCTTCTCCGGCTCCCCATGGGTGACATAGGCTGAGATCAGAGCGTTCATTGTCGCCAGATCCGGGGTCAGGTTGTATTTTTCCATCTGCCCGAGGTAGTGCTCCATTTCTTTGAGCTGCCCGGCCCTTCCAAGTCCGGCCAGGATGATGTTAAATGTGATTGTAATGGGGGTGAAGCCCTGCAAGCAGACCGGGAAGATTATTAAAAGAGACTCAGAGAGAGTAAGAGAGGAAGAGGGGAAGAGTGACGAAGAGAGGAAGAGTGGAAGAGAGGAAGAGAGAGTAAGAGAGGAAGAGAGGAAGAGAGAGGAAGCGAGAGGAAGAGAGGAAGAGATGAAGCGAGGAAGAGAGAGTAAGAGAGGACGAGATGAAGAGAGGAAGAGAGGAAGAGAGAGAAAGAGAGGAAGAGAGGAAGAGAGAGAAAGAGAGAAAGAGAGGAAGAGAGGAAGAGAGAAAAAGAGAGAAAGAGAGGAAGAGAGGAAGAGAGAGAAAGAGAGAAAGAGAGGAAGAGAGACTAAGAGAGGGAGAGAGGAAGAGAGGAAGAGAGAGGCGTGGGGAGAAGCAAGAGAGCATGCATGGTGGGTGCATGGCGTGGTTGAACTGATTGAGTTTTTGAGATGCCTCAAAATGCACGGCGCAAACACGGCGTGCTTGCATTGAATGCATTCCCGTCGTCCCCCCCTTCCCCTGCCCCACCTTCCTCCTCGTTTTATCCCTAATCGCCCCAATCCCCGCCACCACGCCCGCCCGCTGCCTGCCTGCCACTCCACCCTTCCCCTTCCCTACCCATCCCTTGCACTACCTTTCTCTTGCTCTCCCCCCCCCCCCCACTCCCTTTCTCCCCCTGCCCCACCTTGCTCCTCATCTCATCCATGATCACCCCAATGCCTGCCACCACGCCCGCCCGCCATGTGCCCGCCACTCCAATCTCAACCACCTCCCATCCCACCCCCTCTCCCAGTCCCTCCACCCCCCCGCCACCCCTTCCCCCCCCCCTCCCCCCTCCCCCTCCCCCCTCTCTCATCCCCCCTGCCCCAACTTGCTCCGCATTTCATCCATGATCGCCCCAATGCCTGCCACCACGCCCGCCCGCCTCCTGCATGCCTGCCCATCTGTAAGGGTAAGTAACGCACTTTGCGTTACTGCCAGTACTTCGCTCGCACACTCTGCATCGAGACGAATGAAAATGATTTCCAAACCAGGCTCTCGTTTCGCACCAACAAATGGGAGCTGATATGCCGTGCCATCGAGACTTACTTGCGACAACAGGTAGAGCAAATACATTGTCGCTCGACTTGTTCCCTTTATGCAAATTGTATTTATGAACCTCGAAAGTGGGCAAAGTGGGTAAATTGTATTTATGAACCTACGCGAGCTTCCATTGCCCACTTTGGCCACTTTCGAGGTTTGTAAATACGATGTAGTTGCTCTACCTGTTGTCGCGAGTAAGTGCCGATGGCACGGCATATCAGCTCCCATGTGTTGGTGCGAAACGCGGGCCTGGTTCTGAAATCATCCTCATTCGTCTCGATGCAAAGTGTGCCAGAGAAGTACTCACACACACTTTGCCTGCATCCCCGTGTGCTACCTTTTGCGTGCATGCAGTCAAGCTGACTAGCCACTTTGACTCCCCACACCCCCTGCCCCACCTTGCTCCGCATCTCATCCACGATCGCCCCGATGCCCGCCACCACGCCCGCCCGCCGCCTGCCAGCCAGCAGCGCCTGCAGGCGTGCGTTGAACGAGGGAATGCCCTCCTGCACGCCCTGCTGCCGCAGCCAGTCCACCTGAGAGCACACATAGAGGATTGGTGAAAAGGAAAGAAAAGCCATTTGCTCGTTGAACGAGGGGATGACCTCCGCCACGCCTTGCTGCCGCAGCCAGTCCACCTGAAGAGGGGAGAGAGGTGAGAACTATCAGATAAGAAGATCACTACAGGAACCGTGCAGAGCTCGTGGGCGGGCAGAGCTCGTGGGCGCACGAGGGGACTTACCAGGCAGCTAAGCTGGTGCATCAGTACAGGCAGCGCTGGGCAGTCGCCCTGCAGCACGGACAGGCGGTGGCATTCCATACCAGGGCCAACCTACCCAGCCTGTAGGGTCTCTCCCAGGATGCGCTGATTCGGCCAGCCGGGGGAGATGCTTGCGATTCTAGAGCCTTAGGCTACTCACCACATCTATATATGCCTTGCTTGTCGTCACTATCAGCACCCTAATTATAAATATTACAAGGACCGCTTGAGAGAGGTGAGAAGGAGAGGAGAGATTGGGGAGAAGGAGAGGAGAGATTGGGGAGAAGGAGAGGAGAGATTGGGGAGAAGGAGAGGAGAGATTGGGAAGAAGGAGAGGAGAGATTGGGGAGAAGGAGAGGAGAGATTGGGGAGAAGGAGAGGAGAGATTGGGGAGAAGGAGAGGAGAGATTGGGGAGAAGGAGAGGAGAGATTGGGGAGAAGGAGAGGAGAGATTGGGGAGAAGGAGAGGAGAGATTGGGGAGAAGGAGAGGAGAGATTGGGGAGAAGGAGAGGAGAGATTGGGGAGAAGGAGAGGAGAGATTGGGGAGAAGGAGAGGAGAGCTTGGGGAGAAGGAGAGGAGAGCTTGGGGAGAAGGAGAGGAGAGCTTGGGAGAAGGAGAGGAGAGCTTGGGGAGAAGGAGAGGAGAGCTTGGGGAGAAGGAGAGGAGAGCTTGGGGAGAAGGAGAGGAGAGCTTGGGGAGAAGGAGAGGAGAGCTTGGGGAGAAGGAGAGGAGAGCTTGGGGAGAAGGAGAGGAGAGCTTGGGGAGAAGGAGAGGAGAGCTTGGAGAGAAGGAGAGGAGAGCTTGGGGAGAAGGAGAGGAGAGCTTGGGGAGAAGGAGAGGAGAGCTTGGGGAGAAGGAGAGGAGAGCTTGGGGAGAAGGAGAGGAGAGCTTGGGGAGAAGGAGAGGAGAGCTTGGGGAGAAGGAGAGGAGAGCTTGGGGAGAAGGAGAGGAGAGCTTGGGGAGAAGGAGAGGAGAGCTTGGGGAGAAGGAGAGGAGAGCTTGGGGAGAAGGAGAGGAGAGCTTGGGGAGAAGGAGAGGAGAGCTTGGGGAGAAGGAGAGGAGAGCTTGGGGAGAAGGAGAGGAGAGCTTGGGGAGAAGGAGAGGAGAGCTTGGGAGAAGGAGAGGAGAGCTTGGGGAGAAGGAGAGGAGAGCTTGGGGAGAAGGAGAGGAGAGCTTGGGGAGAAGGAGAGGAGAGCTTGGGGAGAAGGAGAGGAGAGCTTGGGGAGAAGGAGAGGAGAGCTTGGGGAGAAGGAGAGGAGAGCTTGGGGAGAAGGAGAGGAGAGCTTGGGGAGAAGGAGAGGAGAGCTTGGGGAGAAGGAGAGGAGAGCTTGGGGAGAAGGAGAGGAGAGCTTGGGGAGAAGGAGAGGAGAGCTTGGGGAGAAGGAGAGGAGAGCTTGGGGAGAAGGAGAGGAGAGCTTGGGGAGAAGGAGAGGAGAGCTTGGGGAGAAGGAGAGGAGAGCTTGGGGAGAAGGAGAGGAGAGCTTGGGGAGAAGGAGAGGAGAGCTTGGGGAGAAGGAGAGGAGAGCTTGGGAGAAGGAGAGGAGAGCTTGGGGAGAAGGAGAGGAGAGCTTGGGGAGAAGGAGAGGAGAGCTTGGGGAGAAGGAGAGAGAGCTTGGGGAGAAGGAGAGGAGAGCTTGGGGAGAAGGAGAGGAGAGCTTGGGGAGAAGGAGAGGAGAGCTTGGGGAGAAGGAGAGGAGAGCTTGGGGAGAAGGAGAGGAGAGCTTGGGGAGAAGGAGAGGAGAGCTTGGGGAGAAGGAGAGGAGAGCTTGGGGAGAAGGAGAGGAGAGCTTGGGGAGAAGGAGAGGAGAGCTTGGGGAGAAGGAGAGGAGAGCTTGGGGAGAAGGAGAGGAGAGCTTGGGGAGAAGGAAAGGAGAGGAGAGCTTGGGGAGAAGGAGAGGAGAGCTTGGGGAGAAGGAGAGGAGAGCTGGGGAGAAGGAGAGGAGAGCTTGGGGAGAAGGAGAGGAGAGCTTGGGGAGAAGGAGAGGAGAGCTTGGGGAGAAGGAGAGGAGAGCTTGGGGAGAAGGAGAGGAGAGCTTGGGGAGAAGGAGAGGAGAGCTTGGGGAGAAGGAGAGGAGAGCTTGGGGAGAAGGAGAGGAGAGCTTGGGGAGAAGGAGAGGATGAGCTTGGGGAGAAGGAGAGGAGAGCTTGGGAGAAGGAGAGGAGAGCTTGGGGAGAAGGAGAGGAGAGCTTGGGGAGAAGGAGAGGAGAGCTTGGGGAGAAGGAGAGGAGAGCTTGGGGAGAAGGAGAGGAGAGCTTGGGGAGAAGGAGAGGAGAGCTTGGGGAGAAGGAGAGGAGAGCTTGGGGAGGGGAGAAGGAGAGGAGAGCTTGGGGAGAAGGAGAGGAGAGCTTGGGGAGAAGGAGAGGAGAGCTTGGGGAGAGAGAGGAGAAGGAGAGAGCTTGGGGAGAAGGAGAGGAGAGCTTGGGGAGAAGGAGAGGAGAGCTTGGGGAGAAGGAGAGGAGAGCTTGGGGAGAAGGAGAGGAGAGCTTGGGGAGAAGGAGAGGAGAGCTTGGGGAGAAGGAGAGGAGAGCTTGGGGAGAAGGAGAGGAGAGCTTGGGGAGAAGGAGAGGAGAGCTTGGGGAGAAGGAGAGGAGAGCTTGGGGAGAAGGAGAGGAGAGCTTGGGGAGAAGGAGAGGAGAGCTTGGGGAGAAGGAGAGGAGAGCTTGGGGAGAAGGAGAGGAGAGCTTGGGGAGAAGGAGAGGAGAGCTTGGGGAGAAGGAGAGGAGAGCTTGGGGAGAAGGAGAGGAGAGCTTGGGGAGAAGGAGAGGAGAGCTTGGGGAGAAGGAGAGGAGAGCTTGGGAGAGAGGAGATTGGGAGAGGAGAGGAGCTTGGGGAGAAGGAGAGGAGAGCTTGGGGAGAAGGAGAGGAGAGCTGGGGAGAAGGAGAGGAGAGCTTGGGGAGAAGGAGAGGAGAGCTTGGGGAGAAGGAGAGGAGAGCTTGGGGAGAAGGAGAGGAGAGCTTGGGGAGAAGGAGAGGAGAGCTTGGGGAGAAGGAGAGGAGAGCTTGGGGAGAAGGAGAGGAGAGCTTGGGGAGAAGGAGAGGAGAGCTTGGGGAGAAGGAGAGGAGAGCTTTGGGGAGAAGGAGAGGAGAGCTTGGGGAGAAGGAGAGGAGAGCTTGGGGAGAAGGAGAGGAGAGCTTGGGGAGAAGGAGAGGAGAGCTTGGGGAGAAGGAGAGGAGAGCTTGGGGGAGAAGGAGAGGAGAGCTTGGGGAGAAGGAGAGGAGAGCTTGGGGAGAAGGAGAGGAGAGCTTGGGGAGAAGGAGAGGAGAGCTTGGGGAGAGGAGAGAGAGCTTGGGGAGAAGGAGAGGAGAGCTTGGGGAGAAGGAGAGGAGAGCTTGGGGAGAAGGCTTGGGAGAAGGAGAGGAGAGCTTGGGGAGAAGGAGAGGAGAGCTTGGGGAGAAGGAGAGGAGAGCTTGGGGAGAAGGAGAGGAGAGCTTGGGGAGAAGGAGAGGAGAGCTTGGGGAGAAGGAGAGGAGAGCTTGGGGAGAAGGAGAGGAGAGCTTGGGGAGAAGGAGAGGAGAGCTTGGGGAGAAGGAGAGGAGAGCTTGGGGAGAAGGAGAGGAGAGCTTGGGGAGAAGGAGAGGAGAGCTTGGGGAGAAGGAGAGGAGAGCTTGGGGAGAAGGAGAGGAGAGCTTGGGGAGAAGGAGAGGAGAGCTTGGGGAGAAGGAGAGGAGAGCTTGGGGAGAAGGAGAGGAGAGCTTGGGGAGAAGGAGAGGAGAGCTTGGGGAGAAGGAGAGGAGAGCTTGGGGAGAAGGAGAGGAGAGCTTGGGGAGAAGGAGAGGAGAGCTTGGGGAGAAGGGAAGGAGAGGAGAGCTTGGGGAGAAGGAGAGGAGAGCTTGGGGAGAAGGAGAGGAGAGCTTGGGGAGAAGGAGAGGAGAGCTTGGGGAGAAGGAGAGGAGAGCTTGGGGAGAAGGAGAGGAGAGCTTGGGGAGAAGGAGAGGAGAGCTTGGGGAGAAGGAGAGGAGAGCTTGGGGAGAAGGAGAGGAGAGCTTGGGGAGAAGGAGAGGAGAGCTTGGGGAGAAGGAGAGGAGAGCTTGGGGAGAAGGAGAGGAGAGCTTGGGGAGAAGGAGAGGAGAGCTTGGGGAGAAGGAGAGGAGAGCTTGGGGAGAAGGAGAGGAGAGCTTGGGGAGAAGGAGAGGAGAGCTTGGGGAGAAGGAGAGGAGAGCTTGGGGAGAAGGAGAGGAGAGCTTGGGGAGAAGGAGAGGAGAGCTTGGGGAGAAGGAGAGGAGAGCTTGGGGAGAAGGAGAGGAGAGCTTGGGGAGAAGGAGAGGAGAGCTTGGGGAGAAGGAGAGGAGAGCTTGGGGAGAAGGAGAGGAGAGCTTGGGGAGAAGGAGAGGAGAGCTTGGGGAGAAGGAGAGGAGAGCTTGGGGAGAAGGAGAGGAGAGCTTGGGGAGAAGGAGAGGAGAGCTTGGGGAGAAGGAGAGGAGAGCTTGGGGAGAAGGAGAGGAGAGCTTGGGGAGAAGGAGAGGAGAGCTTGGGGAGAAGGAGAGGAGAGCTTGGGGAGAAGGAGAGGAGAGCTTGGGGAGAAGGAGAGGAGAGCTTGGGGAGAAGGAGAGGAGAGCTTGGGGAGAAGGAGAGGAGAGCTTGGGGAGAAGGAGAGGAGAGCTTGGGGAGAAGGAGAGGAGAGCTTGGGGAGAAGGAGAGGAGAGCTTGGGGAGAAGGAGAGGAGAGCTTGGGGAGAAGGAGAGGAGAGCTTGGGGAGAAGGAGAGGAGAGCTTGGGGAGAAGGAGAGGAGAGCTTGGGGAGAAGGAGAGGAGAGCTTGGGGAGAAGGAGAGGA